GTGGGAGAGAGAAGAGACGATGGTAAGGAAGCAATTGCAACACTCCTGACGGCGGGTGGGAATCCCTCCCCAGAGTTGTACGTCTGTGTGTCCTTTTTGTGTGGGCGCGCGTGTGCGGATTGTAGTGCGTGTGCAGTCGCGGTGGGGAGTTCTGGCAGGAGAAGGGAAGGCGGGCGGGGGCCAAGAGAATCCAGACAGGCGACTTGAATCGGGGGAGAGAGGCGCGCGCCTTTTCGTCGTCGTCTGCCAGACGCTGCTCGATATCACCTACCACATGTGCCGTGCTTCCCTCCCTCGTCCATTGCTTCTGCCGGTGGAGCCCTTCTCTGGGTCTTTCAATTTACGCTGCAGGACTGGGGTTACTTTTTTCTTTTGCGATGCTTGCACCTGCATGGGGTTTGTAAAGGCAAAAAAAAAAAAAAAAAAAAGAATGGGGAGAGAAATACCTGCAGTTATTAAGAGGAGGCTACACCAGCACGACTCGGACAGGCCGCAGCCGAGGCCATTTACCTGGCTGGAAAGGGTGGGTTTGCGATTCGAGTAGATAATGAGATCTTACCGATAGGAAAACCAAAACCAGAAAGTCGCTCAGGAGTGGCAAAGCAAGGGGAACAGAGACAGAAAAGCAAGGGGAGGCAAGGGATAAGAGTGCGAGATGCGATAGATTGAATATGTGAGCGGTACGTCGATGTGATGTATCTGATTATGGTTGCTTTTTTGACTCTTGCTTTTCCTTTTGGACTCCTTTCTCGACCTTTTCCGGGGCCGCCACCATTCCAAGACAGGACCATCCCCGAAAGCCCCCGGCTTGTTTTCTATCAGTTTTCTATTCTTGCTTATCCAAAAAGTCCAAGGTTGTGTCTTGTTGGCCAGCCCTCGGCAGCGGTGACCCCCTTGCTCCGGATTTCAGATGCCCGTCCTCCGCAGAAGCAAAATAGGCCGGCCCCCAAAAAAACGGGGGGCTCTGGACTTGATTGACATGTTTGATGGAGACAGAGGCCACCACACTCACCGGCACTTTTGCCTGTCCACCACCAGTTCACAGAGAGCGGGCCCCGCCTTTTTCCCCCTTCACACCACCGGAACCAAGAACCCCTGCAGCCAAACACCCCCAGCCCCAGCCTCGACATCCCTTGCTCTCTCTCTCGCTTTCTCTGTCTCTCTCCACCAGAACCCCATGCCCGCCTGTTCCTTTTTGTTTCTCTTCCCCTTGTCACCTTGCCCATCGCGGGGCAACCCCAAAGAGGGTACGTACCGGTCTGTCCTGTCACCTTTTTTTTTTTTTTGATTCCCCTCTCAGTTTTGGGAGGCGGCATTTGGGCCACCCGATACAGCGAGCGACACACCACCACCACCCGCCACACCTTGGACGCTCCCCTATTTGCCATCTGGTTTTATTTTCGTGTGCTTGCTTTTCATCGTCGCGGAGCCGGGGTTAAGTCGCCGTCCTCGGAACGGGCAAAGCAAAGAAAAGTGACACGAGGGAGGCAAGGGGTTATAAAAAATAAAAAAAACACAGCCCGAGGAAACCGAGCCTTGGGCGTGATTGGCCGTCGCCTCAGGCCGGTGATGAGCTTGGTGGGGGGGTGGTGATGCAGCCCTTGCTGGGAAATGTCGGCCGAACGATTATTTTGATTTCCCGACATGCATTGGGTTGCGCCGACGAGTGTCCCTTCTTCTTCGTTGTTTGTTGCTTTCCTTGTTTTTGTCCAAAAGCGTCTTTTTTTTTCTCCCTAACTTTTGCTACCGCCCTTTTGACGGCTTCTCCTCCTTCCTTCCTTTGCCCCTTCGTTAGGATGGTGTGGGGAATAAGCCATGGCTCTGGCAGCTTCCGACTGGCTGTGTGCGTCGCCTCTGCACGGACACTTTTCCCCCCGCGGGATGCGTTCGATTGCCTTGGGGAAACCGTAAGAAAAATGCAGGTACCGGTACTCGAGGCGGCGCCATTGCACCAAATACTAGTCGGTACAGGCTACGATCGCTGGCGAGGAGGGGGGATCTCCCAATCGGCTCTCGGCCACACACCCCTCCTCTTTTTTTTTTCTCTTTCGTCCAGCTGGCTGTGTGCGTGTGCTGCAAGCAGAGATGCGGGCGACGACGTGCCGTCCAGCCAATATCACGTCTCTTGTGGGTTTTTTTTTCTTCTTCTTCCCATCTTTTCTCTCCCTTGCCTCCCGGCGTTTGGGGAGGCGCACCACTTGCTGCTTGCCAAGTCCCCCGGACAAGACAGATAGACGACCTCCTGGAAACAACAAGAGTAGGAAAATCTGCCTGTTTCGGGGCTTTCCTCCCTCACAAAAGCCCGAAGGCTGCTAATGTGACGGATCACCCCTGGTCACCGCACGAGAAAAGTAAAATGCCATGGATGATAGTTCCTCGCGCCGGCGGTCCTGCCATGCTGCGAAACCAATGGGCTAGAAACCGTCGGCTGCGGGCTGTGCGGGTTCCCTGCTTTGGTTTTTTTTTTTGACAGAAACCGTACCTGCAGCTCTGCTTTGCGCTTTTTCCCGTGTGCTCCGACGTGCACACACTCTCTCTCTCTCTCACTGTCTTGTTAGGCTTGCCTGCTGGTGTTGAAGCCGGTCCCCCAGAACCGGAAAAAAAGAGGCTCGATCCCAAGGAGCCGCGGTGTCTGCTCTCGTCGCCGGTCTCGACCTTGGAATGGCCTCTAGCGTGTTGCGCAGACGCCTGACGAATCTGTGACCACAGCCACATGGGCCCAGGGTCATGGGCCCAAGACCATGCAAACAAGTCGTAATTTTGGTCTGAACTTGGAGCCGACACGTCCAGGGCCCGGCGCCAGCAGAGAAAACGAAAGCAAGGCGGAATCGACGCCATTCCCCCATCACACAAGCATCCTTGCCTTGGCCCGCCGGCCTTGTCATCTAATTTCGAAAGAACAAAAAAAAGCCACCTTGTCACAGCCACCTCTTGCTGACGCTGCTGCTGTTGCTGGACGACACCCGTTACGTTGCCTCGCTGCTTGCATCGTTGCCGTCCATTCTTGCAGTCGCTGCTGCTCTCTCTTTTTCCCTTCGCCCGACAAGGGATTATGGTCCGGTTGCAGCCCGTCGAGTTGGCTTTTCTCCGCCTGGGAAATCTTGTCGTTTTTTCCAGCCCTCGTCTGCAAGGCCGCCGCCACGCCCACGCCCCACACCCTATGCTGCTAGAATTGGGGCGGCTCGCGTGGATTTGAGCGGACATGATGCCGGGCGGGCGCCAGGTGAACGCCCTCTTTCTCGTGTCAATAAACGGGGGCTGTTACTTTTTGCTGTTGTTTGTTGGTCAGCAACGCAAATGGGTGAGCACATCATCACCCCCTCCCTAGCGAACGCGGCGGCGGAGATGGCGCTCACTTGGCGGAAAACAGGCCATCTCTGTCGAGGAAAGGAGAGCAAGACCAGTTCTGCCCACCTGCCCCGACTGTTCGCGCGCGTGTCATTCAACTCACACCCTCGACCCGCGCCGTGTGGCACAAACACCCCCCCCGGCCCGCCCGCTGCCCCTCCGAAATATTGATCAGAAGAGAGATTTCTGTCGATTTCCATTTGATTATCTTATCTTTTTTTCCCCTGAGCATCGGCAGGCAAGCCAAGGCAGGTCCCTGATCGCAATGGAGCAAATAGCCAACAAGCGACGGGTTGGGGCATGCCAATAAAGTACTGTGTGGAAGCAGAAGAAAAGCCAAAAAAAAAAAAAAGAAGTTCGCTTCCCCTAACTCTTCCACCGGAGCGAAGCCGAGAAAGGGGTCATCTGGAAGGTAAACCCGGGTGATAATCATTGCTGCCGAGGCAGACCACACACACACACCCACGCCCCCGGTCAAGGTGTGTAAATCATTCATGCGAAACCCCTTCCCTTCGCGGAGCCAGCCGGGAACAGCACTGTTCAATATTGAATGGGGGGGCAAGATGGCAATATTGGCAGGCCACCCAGTCGGCAAAAGCCCGAACTGGGCGCCGCAGCCGATGTGTGAGAAAAGAGAGGTGAAGGCATCTCCCAAGCCCAGGCCCTGGGCGGAACTGAAGCGGCCACCGATTGAAGGGTTGAGACGGCTGAAGGGGTAGCAGAAAAGCCCGCCGCCTATTTCCGGCGTCTCAGGTCACCAAAACCATAAGCCTGGGCTCCATTCTGACAAATTGCTCCGGTTTTTTTCTTCTTTTTTTTTTTCCAGCCAATTACTGCCTTGCCCGAGCTATCAGTCGGATAGGATGGACGGCCTTTTGGTGCTGCCACCATAGGAATAAACAATAATGCTCGGGCGAAAGCAATCCGGCCGACCCGGCCGAGATCCTTGTCTCTGTCACCTTCGTTCTCGTAAAAAGTGATTTACAAGCAGCAAGGCTGCGGGCGCTTTGGCAGCAAAAAATAAGTTGCAAACCAGGGCGAAGCGAAAAACCTTACAGACACGCACAACGCACGCAACACCCTTTCTCCTTGCTAACAGGTTCTTCGCGCCAAATCGATCGTCGTCTAAACTCGCTCGGCGCCAAGTGGGGGGTGGGCATGTGTTGCAGTCAGGGTTGGCCGTAACAGCATGGAAGCGCGCCGGCGACGAACAAGCGCGACGCGGCGCCTTTTTTTTTCCCTGTCTGTTCGTCCGTGTCTTACTGTCCACACACACACACACACACCGGCAGTCCGACCACATGGCTCACTGGCTGATCTCCACACCTCAAGTGCCGCGAAATTGTGACAAGAGAAAGAACGCGCGATGGAAGGGGGGGGGGGGGCCACAAGAGACAAGCGATTAGCGGACAAGACCGACCATTTCGTATGGGTTCCAGGGATCAGAAACGTTAGTGCAGTGGATCCCTCCTGATTAAGCCACGTGCTTGGCTACATTTTTCACCATAAAAAGTCCCGCCAAATCAATGTATCGCTCGCTACCCGCACCTCCAGTTGCCACAGTTTGCCATAAACCCACTAATGGAGGTGCGGGTAGCGATACATCGATTTGGCGGGATTTTCTATTGTGAAAAATGTATTTGGGTACGTGGCTTAATCAGGAAGGATCCATTGCACTAACGTTTCTGATCCCTGAGACCTATAGAAGCAACCAAGATTTCGTAGCCCACTCACTGTCTGTCTCGCCCTCGCTTGCGAAAATAAAAAAAGGGTCCGGCGATCGAATGTGGCCCAACATCCATCGCTACGAGCATCGCCCTGGGCAGTTTTTGAACGCCGAATCCGTCCGCCCGAAGGGACGTCCCCCATCGAGCTGACCGGCCTGCGACACAGGGGAACCGCTGGTGCGGCAAAAGTGGGCGCCGGATGCGCGCGCACTCGCGGCTCCCTGATCGGGTGGAAGAAGCCTGGGGGGGCGTTAAATTCCATTATTATTCTCCTGCTCAGGCGTCAACGGCGGCAATCCACTCCCCAACCCCCCACCACCGGGCAAGGGGACCAGGTAACCCAGAACTGCCAGGCTCGCTGGCGAACACGGCCTCCTCGCCCACAGGCAGGCAGGCAGTCGGAGCAGGGAGCTCATTAGGATAGGACAGCGGTGGTCCAGGCTCCTCGACTTGACCGGCCGAGCGACGAAGAACAGACACACGCCCTTCAAGGGCCAGGGGAGGAGGAAAGAGGAATATGGGGCCGGCAGCAAGAACTCCAGGACAGGGCGCCCACGCCCGCATGGGGGGAGAGAGGAACGACGGCATAAACCGCACCCGTTTACTCTTTTGCTCTTCTTTCTTTTATTTTGGTTGCTTTTTTTATTTTATTTATTTTATTTATTTACCTGCTTCTTTCCTTGACCGACCTTGATTGCTAATATTTTTGTCCTTCCGCCCCTTAAAACCCGCATCTGCGCCCGGTTGACTCGGGAGGTTGCGTTTGTCAAGATATGATATGGGGGCCATGCGGAGCGAGAAAACGGGGCGACGGTATCTGGGGTGGAAGTTGCGGCAGGAAAAACAAGGGGAGGGGTAGGGGAAGGCGACGACATCGAAAAAGCATGGTTCCCGAAGCAAGGTTTCCCTGGGTAGAAAACCTTGAGCGAGTCAAAAATTCAATGTCACTCTGTTGTCTTGTCTCAACTCTCCTCCGACCATTGGCGACTTGTCCATGACCCATCGGGTTCGGCGGCGTATCGAAGGGGAAGTTGTATTTGCACCTCTTAGCAATGCTGCTTTCGGACTAAAGCCGCGCCCTTGTGCGCTCGCTGTTCTTCGCTGTTTTCGTTGTCCTTTTGCCCCCCTTTCTGTTTGATGGCAAACATGCAGGACAAAAAAGAACCCACAACGCCCGCAGCCCCGGAGCTTGTTCCGGTTGGGTGAGACATCAGACTATTCCCGCTGTGGCGACAACGAAACCCCCCCCATTTTATTCCGTCTTACCGCCATCCTTCCAAGAAAATGGCCACAAGTTCTGGCAATGCAGCGAGATTTCGGGGGGTGCCCTTTTCTGGAGACTGGCCGTTGCGTGTTGTGCTTGGGGTGCGTGCCGGCATGCTCGGAGATGACCCATTGATGTCGTCAGAGGCTCAGCCTAACCGGCCAAGGACGAAAAAGAAAAGGGCGGGTTTTCCTGGCGCCAACCGAACCCCTGGATTAGCGCAAGGGAACCCAAGCAGCCGGTCTCAAAAGGACCGAACCTAGCAGATAACAGCATCGACACGAGCGATGCTGGCAGAAAGTGGCCAAGGTCCCTCCCCATATCGCTGACCAGGGCCGGGTTGGCACAAACGTCCGCTCAGGTCAGAACTCCTTAGTGCCTGCTGGTGCCTTGCCTCAGCCAAGTGGAGAGTGGAGAGTGACAGAGGCCGCTATCTCAGCCACAAAACCGGGGTGGCGTCTGCGGGGAAGAAGGGGGAGGGTTTAGGAGATGGAGCCAAGCCCGGCCCCCCCTTCAGACTCGTCGCGTTTTTGTGCGTTTTCTTTGCCCGTTGATTTACTACCATATTGGATTTCCTGTCGTTCCCCGTTCCAGCTTTGGTTCAACCCTTTACCAACTCCCACAATCCGTCCGCCCGTCTCTCCTCATCTCTATATTCCAAAACCATCGTTTAGGCCACACCGGTCCATGGTAGCCACCCCTTCGGACACGCCTCACGGTTCTAGGCCGCCCCTCTGGCGGCTTTAGCCCCAAGGCCGGCGGCGTGCAATGGTTCGTGCTAGTGTTTCTGCTGACGCGTGTGTAGTTTTGCGCCTCATTTTGTTTTTCAGTGTCCCTCCCAGGACCCACAACGGGATCATGGTGGTGCAGCTCCCTCGAACACCTGGGGGAGCACATGATGCAAACCTGTGACTTGGCGGATCAGAAAGACAGAAAGAAGGATATTATTATTATTATTCCACGCACATGCAAAGCGTGGGTTTCGTCTGCGAGACAGATTCTCATTCGTAACCACACAGGCGGAACGGCTGGTTGTCCAATTGCGTGGCCTTTGCAGCATCCTTCTCCCTGCATATAGAATTCAATTCCTGATGTCGTTAGGATACACACACACACACACACACACGCACCACACCCAAACCGTTCAAACGCGGAATGTTCAAGTGGCACGGTAATGCTCCGACTGGTACAGGCCGCGCACGGGGCGACTCCGGCCGGCAATGTCGGGCCCGGCGTTGCTCCTATTTTTTTTGCTTCTGCCGCGCCGTTTCCACCCAACTCGCCCATGCTCGCTGCCGTGTTGCGCACGCCCGGGAGAGGGCGTGCATCTGGCCCGGCTGCCGGGCGTTGTGCCGTCCCTCATCTATTTCCGTCCTCCTTTCCGCGCCTGCAGTGCGGGGTGAGCAGCAGGGGGAGGCGGAGGCGGCACGGCTCACCCCTCCTGTCTCCTGTTTATGGACATGTAGAGACGGGAGCGTTGTGGTATTCGGCAGTCGTTGTGGGCGGCGACGCGGCCGAAACGGTAGCAACGGTAAGAGGAGGCAGGCGGGGCGGCGGCGGCGGTGGCGGTGGCTTTGTTCCTGGATTCTCCCCTCCCACTTGGTCTTTTGTTGGCCAGGTGTATTTGGCGCTGGCCGGTTTTGCATGCCGGCCTCGAAACCGCTGCGGCCTCCCGAGAAAAGGATAAAGAAAAGGTTTAGCGTCTCGTGCCCTTCTCTGCTTGCGCGCGCGCAGACGAGGCCCGCCGTGTCATTCGGTTAAAGTTGAGGCGCAGGTGTTGGAGCGTCGACAAGCAAAGTCTTGGCAGCAGGAAACCCCGCCGCTTTTGTAAAAAGGCCGACGACGACGACGACGACAAGGACGACGAAGGGCTGCAGTTTGCGGGGTTGTCACACGCACATACACACACACTCTCTCTCTCTCACTCTCACTTGGTACTGAACCTGTGTCGTCGGGACGGCACAGAATGGACGCAAGTCGCATCAAAACGCAGACAGCGGACCCCGTGCGCACACCGGTCGCGTTATGGTGGCGCACTTTTTTGCGCCCACAACGACCCAGGCCAGGCCAGGCGGGAGAGAGAGAGAGAGAGAGCACGTTGAGGAAATATGCATGTTCAGTGCAACGACGGCACAGGCACCCCGCAACAAAAGAAAGCATCACATTATCCAAACGTGGGGCACGCATCGTCACCATCGGTCGTGGCTAGAAAGAGCTTGGTCACCCCCCTCCCCTTTTCGTCCACCAGAAGACGCGCGAGATGTCTGATTGGGACGGGTCGAAGGGTGGCCATGGTGCGCTTCGGGTTCCAGTTCAATTGTCAACGCGGCAGCACGTAACAATGCAGCACACAAGCAGCGCCAAGGGGGGGTGGAAGCGAAAACGCGGTGGTGGTGTGTTTGCCGGATGAAAGGCCTGCCGGGCTGCCGTGCTGGCCGATAACTAGGTGTGGTGGTGGTGGTAGTGGTTGTAGCTGCCACCACAACAGAACCTCGACTTGAAATCACCAAAAACCACCTTCCCCCAACGATTAGCAATCACTAGTTGACATCTTGGAGAGGTACAACCCGCAATGCCTTTAGCCGAAGGCTTCCGCCGCCAAGAAACACAATTATTCGTGGCGTAAATGCACATTTCGTCTAGACCCAATATTGAATATTACCTTTTGGATGCCTGGTAATCGTTAATTGCTTTTTAATGCTATAACGATGCCCGCCGTCCATTCCTTTCCCTTACCACAAAGCCAACGTGGCTAGCATTTGACACATTTTCCGAGACCACGCGGGAGAAGGAGGAAAAAACAAAACAAGGCCCAGCCCGCCACCCGTCTGCTCCCGAGAAAGGAGGAGGGTCCGGGGCCTTCCCGCATTCTTGGTGGTACGACTGTAAGGCGACGGAGCGACGTGATTGGACAGATGAATGCGACAATGGGCCCGTGTTGTGGACCTGGCCGAGTTGCCAAAAGCAGGAATGGAAACCAGAATCTAGCCAGTAAGAAGAGGGAGAGCGTTCCCAAAGTGTCTTGTCCCGCGATGGGGGACTTTTGGCGTCCAGAAGCGCGGTATGGTTTCGCTCATGGGCGGCGCTGCCTGTCCGCATCCAACGTTTTCGTGCTACGTTGCAGGAACAGAAAGGAGAACACGACAAAACTCTCCGACCTCGAACCTGCATTCTCCTGCCGTCTTGCTTCGTTGCACAAAAGCACGGGACACGGCAAACGGCGACGAGGCGACGAGGCATGCACAGGTACCACCACCACCGCCGCCCGTCATCGTCCCGTGTCGCCAGCTCACCCTTCCCATGCACTCCGCAATCGTCCCCTCAAGAACCAAGGCACGCTTTGGGCCCAGAAGCCCGCCCGCCCTATGCAGCCCAGCACGGCTGGTCGCCCGTCTGGTTGGAGGAATTTGGCGGCCCCTTCTTGGTATTTGGTAAAAGGGTACGGTGCCATCGGCCTGGGACCGCTATCCTTGGCCCTCTGGTTACCTTGCCATCTTTTTTTTTTTTTTTTTTTGTTTTGCTGTAATGCATCATTCTTCTTGCGCAGACGCCGGGGCGGGAAAGAAAGAGGGTTGGGTTTGTGGGGAAGCATCACATACGCTGCAGGAGCAATCACCGCAGTTAGCAATAACCAGCACCGCCCAGCTTGTGGTTCTTTCTGCGCTGTACCGACAGACACCAGACACGGCATAGGCGGGTAGATTGCTGCCGCAAACGTAAAGTTGAGAAAATGCATCAGGAAAAAGAACCAGTCGGCTGGCCGGCTTGGGTGGGGCTCGGATATGGCCTCTGGTTGGTCAATCCACCCGCACCCCCAGGGCTTGGACCATCCCCCGCAATCCGGGAGGCGGCATGAATTTTCTCAATCGTTCGGTACTGCCACCCTTTATTTCTCCCAATGGCTGGGAACCAAGCTCGCAACCTTTTCTAGCTCACTTGGACGAAGCTTATCACGACGCTGGTATTCCCTTCTCGACGCCAACCTAGGCCGTCATGGGACAACTTTTTTTTAGCGTAGCCTCTAGATAGCTTCAACCTCTCAAATTTCCACTTGGTCTCACCGCTCGGGAAAGGGCCAGCCGTGGCACACACACACACACACACACACCCTGCCGTGTGATATCAGTTGCAGCGGAATCTTGCAGCGGCGAGTATGGCCGATGCAGCCGCTATCACATTTGGTGGCCACAACATGGCTAGATCGGCCTTCCCTCTCCGACTGCCGCTTCGCTGCCCCTTTCAGCATCTTGGTGCCTGTCGTGACCCGCCTTTTCCTGTCTGCTCGCCTGCAGTCCAATTCCAAAAAAGATGGTCGGCGATTCCT